TTATTATTATTATTATCATTATTATCATTATTATTAATGTTGTGTGCTCAGTATTTTTTGCATGTATATTTGGGTGTTTAATAAGGCAATTATGTATGTTTGCAATTGTAATCAAAATTTCCCCATGAGGATCAATAAAGTAGAATTTATTATATTTATTTTATTCTATTTTTAGATTGCTGTTAAAACTGCCCCCCATTGTCAAGGAGAAAAAAGGTCCACTTAGACATGTGACTGTCTTACTACACAGTGTTATTATGAAGTCTTAAAAAATCGCAATGGAGTAAAATGAAAAGTGGCCATTTGTACCAGTGGTTGTCTTATACAGGTGGCTGCTAATGCAGGTTTAACTGAACTTTTGTTTGAATAAAAAGAAGGAAGTGCACACTACATATGCTGGTTAAAAAAGGACCACAAATTGTTGCACGGCAGAAAAGTGTACAGAGACTTGGCAATCATGATTCCGTCGAAACAGTCCAAACAGTCTCAGACAGCCACCCAATGTCGCGTCGAGGAGAAAAGTGGCCATCTTAGACATGTGGCCGCCTTACACAGTTTCATTAAAATGTTTCAAAAAATCGCAAGGAGTGAAATGGGAAGTGGCCATTTGTACGGATGGTTGTCTTATACAGGTAACCGTTCAAGCAGGTTTGACTGTACTTAGTACATATACAGTATTGGGTTAAAGTCGTCAAGAGCTTACCATTCTAAATATAAGTTAAAAGCGTCTTTTGCTTATGATGCCAAAATCACCCATAAGTGTCTCCACAGAAAGGGGAGACCCACAATACGCCTAATAAGTCAAGTTAGTTCCGAATGGAGGGCTTGGGTAAACTTTTACCCAATATTGTCTAACATTTCCCCTCTAGGCTATTTGAATTTGAGTACAGAGAAGCACATCCATACAATGACAGCATCAGGTGAGAGGAAAAAGTAATAAGGTGCCACTGGTAGGTCTTAATTCTGTTCTTCCTCTCTGTTCCTCCCCTCTGTGGTTTCTATCTGTCTTATACCCGGTCCTCAAAGCCGAAAGTTTCGAAAAATCGCAATTCGATATACAGCTTAATACATTTGAGGGCAGTGAGATTTTCCATCACCCTCATAGGGATACAACATTCCAGCTGAAAGATCGACATACTCAATAAAAATTTTCCCTACTCGGGAATTGAACTCGGCTCTCCTGAGCGTTTTAGTTTTAGTACGAGTTTTACGGCATTTGCAACACAATAAGGTCACATAAGCGACGAAGATTAGAGGTGTTACAAGCGAGTAACAAACACAAAAAAGAAGGAGAGATCAGGATGATAGATGTTTGATAGGAAAGAAGGAGCAAACCACACCAGATCACCCGCCCACCATATCCCGAGTGTGACAAAGAAGCGGCCAACTGCTATACCATGAAAACCAATCAATTTTTGTGTGTCTATGCGTTTCTCTTTACTCAAAACAGAACCAAAACATCTAAGGACATCCGCAATAAAACAAATCTTATATGTTAAAAAGACACACAAAGACCTCAACCTTTTGCGTATCACAAATTAATCAGTATACGGTCAAAAGCTATAAAGAAGGGCACTGACGTATCGACATTTGGTACAGAAAGAGATAAAGAAAACCAGTCAGCTCATCTCACCTGGAAGTTGACCCCAGAGATCCCATCATAGATGAGTTCATTCCTCCTCTCCTGCAGCTGCAGACAGGCAGCTATATCCAGGGATGAGCGTAAGCATTGTGGAATGTTGTTAAGTCCGAGCGCAGCTGAGAATACGCTAATGATGACGTGCAGCACAGAGGGGTCCTGAGCGATCATGTCGCGTGTTATGACCTCTCCTTTGGTACACACTCCTGGGTAACGTCTAATGTGTGGGATCTGAGGGGGTCAGAGTTTGGTAAAGTCGGAGTCTGGTAAAGTCAAAGTTTGGTAAGAATTTTATGGTGCTAACATATATGGTCATATGAGCGTGCGGGAAGGACTCAAGTTGGTTGGGAGGCGAGAGTTCATCATATGCCAGAGAGAGAGAGAGAGAGAGAGAGAGAGAGAGAGAGA